TTTATTTTAATAAATTTTCGTTAATTTTAATGCGGACATTATCACTAACTGACACAGAGCAGATTATTATTTAGTTAATTCTTTTTTTGACATAACGTGTCACTTCAACATTTCACACTCGATTCACATAGTCGATTCACATACAAACAATTCAGTAGAAATCACGAAAAATCAACTAATGCATCTATCTGTTATGTACTTTACAATCATTGTCGATTAATTATGTATCCATTGAAACATCACACGAAGAAACACACGGCGATTTATGAATACACGACCCGTTCACTCGAGGATAGTAAGCAGTCGACTGACTTTAATACCGAATTTATTAATTAATAATTATCAGTGTCGGTTAATTATTCGTATCAATTAATTATTTTTCGACTAAAAAAATCACTCGAAAAAAGAAACACACGACGCGTGCACTCGATGATAGCAAGCAGTTGACTGACTTTAATACTGAATTTATTAGTTATTGATAATTAATCCCGTGTCTATTAATTATACGTCGACTGAAAAATCACTCGAAGAAAGAAACACGTGCACAATTTATTAACACACGACGATTTACTGACGCACGAGACGTTCACCCGACGATAGCAAGTAGTCGACTGAATTTATTGGTTTTATGCTTATGTTTGTATCATTGTCGAAACGCGAACATGTGAGTTAACGTCTCGTGTGTCAGTAAATCGTCATGTGTTAGTGAATTGTTGCGTGCTTCTTTCTTCGAGTGATTTTTCAGTCGACGAATAATTAATAGATAATAATAAATAGAGAATTAATTAGTCGTATATTAATAAATCGCCGTGTGTTTCTTCGTGTGATGTTTCAATGAATAGATAATTAATCGACAGTGATTGTAAAGTACGTAACAGATAGATATATTAGTTGATTTTTCGTGAATTTCCAGTGAATTGTTCGTATGTGAATCGAGTATGTGAATCAAGTGTGAAATGTTGAAGTGACACGTTACGTAAAAAAAAGAATTAACTAAATAATAATCTGTTCTGTGTCAGTTAGTGATAATGTCCGCATTAAAATTAACGAAAATTTATTAAAATAAACGTTTATTTGGAACTGTACGTGGTCCATTGAAAGGGAAATTCCGTCTTTCTCACGAAGCAATACAGAAATTATCGAATCTTTACAAGGTAATAGGTGCGTGCGTGCGTGCGTGCGTGCGTGCGTGCGTGCGTGCGTGCGTGCGTGCGTGCGTGCGTGCGTGCGTGCGTGCGTGCGTGCGTGCGTGCGTGCGTGCGTGCGTGCGTGCGTGCGTGCGTGCGTGCGTGCGTGCGTGCGTGCGTGCGTGACTGAGTCG